GAAAGATGGGGAGGCAAGGAGAGGGAGACTGTTCAAGGGACCTTTGGGTCAGCCACATCCCTTACAAGGGACACACTGGAAAGGAGAGCCATGGGCTTGACTGGTGCGCCCCCAGGCTGAGGTGACATCGGATACGTGGACGTCAAAGTCAGCAGCTTTAATGTTGAGATTAAGCCCACTTTCTCTACCCCCACCCACCGACTGGCCTGTGGAAGCAACACTGAATCCTATAATGTGGCAGGTAGTGTCAGCTGTAAGGACAGAGACAGTGGAGGTTTGTAGGTGGCTGGAAAGTGTCAGATCAGCAGTGTTTGTTCCTGGCTGGGTCTTTCAGGTCCCTGCCATGCTCCATGCTCCATGCTCCATGCTCCATGCTCCATGCTCCATGCTCCATGCTCCATGCTCCATGCTCCATGCTCCAGGGAGGGTTGTCTAGAGTCCCATCCTGTCCCCCCATGGCTCCTGCTAGAGCCTTTCAGCTTCCTGTCACCCCTCCTTCCACTTAGCTCTCTAGCCCAGCCCCAGGGTCTAGCCTGCCCTCCTCAACCCCCCCACAGTCAGCAGCAAGTTGGGAGGGAGGAGAAGGGGGATAAGGGGAGGTGGCCTGCAGCTCCCCCACATCACAGTGATGGGTCGACTGCCCAACAGAATCGGCAGATGAAGCACATTTCAGCCGAGCAGAAGAGGCGCTTCAACATCAAGATGGGCTTTGACACCCTGAACAGTTTGATCTCTAACAGCTCCAAACTGGTAAGAAGCCTGGGGGTGTTGGGTGGGGAGCTTGGTCCTGGGCGAGGGCACTGCTCTGATCCCCCACCTGCCTGCAGACCAGCCACGCTATCACGCTGCAGAAGACAGTGGAGTACATCACCAAGCTGCAGCAGGAGCGCAGCCAGATGCAAGAGGAAGCTCGGCGGCTGCGGGACGAGATTGAGGAGCTCAATGCCACCATCATGTGAGGGGGCCCTGGGGGCTCGGGCTGTGCCTTGTCCTCTCCCACACACGCCACACAGGCAGGACCCTCTGTGTCCTCTGTGCAGCACTAAAGCTGCTTTTCCTCCTTCCCAGACCTCCTCTTGGGCCTTTGGAGACCTGACAGCGGGCTGGCCCTGCCCATTTGGAACCCCCAGGGTCCGTATTTATCACCAGCTGCTCCAAGCTTCCTCTGACTCTTCCTGTCATTTCAGCTCCTGCCAGCAGCTGCTCCCTGCCACAGGGGTCCCCGTCACCCGGCGCCAGTTTGATCACATGACAGACATGTTTGACGAATATGTAAAGAGTCGGACCCTGCAGAATTGGAAGTTCTGGATTGTATCTTTGGCTTTTCTTTGCCCTGCCCACCCCACTCCAAACCAGTGCACCAGAACAGCAGACGTCCGCACTCCAGTCCTTTAGAAAAAGTCTCTTCTAATGGTCGTCATTCAGTTCACCAAGACTCCAAGGCTAGTTTTCTCCTCGAGGGGGGCCCAGGCTGAGAAGTGGTGGTGGTCAGTTACAGCTAGAAGCATTTTAGGGAAATGTAAGGGCACACTTACCTTGTTCAGAGCTCTCTCAACTCTATGCACAATTACTTGCCAGTCCCAAGGGAAGTCGGCCACAGGCCCTCTTCCCCGCTTATCTTTTCTTTAACCCACGTGCCATGCAGTTCAGTATCATCATCAAGCCGCTGTTCGAGTCCTTCAAGGGGATGGTGTCCACCAGCAGCCTGGAAGAACTGCACCGGACAGTGCTGTCCTGGTTGGACCAACGCTGCTCCCTGCCTGTCCTCAGGCCAAGTGAGTGGGCTGCTGCTCAGGAGTGGTCGGATTGGAGGCTGTCACCCTTCATGCTAGTTCTGGGTGCTGCAGAAAACCTAGGTCCCACTGCAAGCAACCATGCATACAGGGCCTGGGGCACCAGGACGGTGCTGTGTGGAGCCCTGAGCCAGAAATGCCAACTGCGGGAAAGGGCGTACATCTCCCAGCACCTCTCCGTAGCTTCAGTGTGTGTGTTGGTTCCATGAGATCCAGCTTATGTTTACTGAACTCTTCTTACTGGCCAGGCCCTTTCAGAAGTTTCCTTGTTTAATTCTTATAACTAACAAAGCTATGCCTGTATGTTAAAGTTACAGAGAAGGGATAGTAACACCACACCAGTGGACAAGCAGGAAGAGCTTAGGATTCTCCACCTATCTGCAGGATATGAGTAGGATTTGGGGGGTTGTCTTAAAGGCAGGAGGGCTGCCCTGGTGTCCGTCCCTCTGTCCAGCTCAGTGCTTCTCCTCCCCTGGCAAGCGTGAGTGTCACATGATGTTTGTTTTTGTAAGACCACGTGTATGCACTGTCCGTGGTGGGGCTCAAACAGGTTAACTCCTCTCCTGTCTTCCAGCTGTGCTGAACACCCTCCGGCACCTGAGCACCACCACCTCCATTCTCACAGACCCATCCCAGCTGCCGGAGCAGGCGGCAGAGGCTGTCACCAGGATTGGCAAGAGATCGGGGGAGTCTTAGCAGCGCTTAGTGGGCATGTGCCATACAAGATGCCAGAAGACCCTTCCCTGCCTGTGAGAGGAGGCTGTACCCCGCGCCTCTCCTGACTCAGAGCCTTGGGGCCTCCCTCCAACTCTGTTGGCCCACTGGGCTGCTCAAATGCCCTCTCAGGTCTGAAGCAGGTTCAGGTCCTGCCAACAGCAATAGCCCATCTTTGGGAACCCCTTGCTGTAACTCACTCAGCGACCTCAGTCACAATCTCCACTGCCCTCGGGGCAGCCCAGACAGGAACGCACAGTTCCAGTCCTGTCCTGCTGGCCTTAGGGGCCCACGGAAGTAGCTGGGACACAGAGGCAACGCCTGCGCCTGGAATTAGAGAACTTACAGGTCCCTGCCCATCCCTGTCTGTCGCATCCTGGGCGGTTATTTCCTCTGAATGGTTCCCTGCCTGCTCTGGCCCGCCCCTGGGGCAGCTGGAAGCACCTTCCTTCCTTCCCCAGACTCTGAGCTGTAGACAGACTTGGACAGCTGCTCAGGCTTACGCACCATCAGCTGCCTGGGGAACCCCGGGACTCAAGTGTGTGAAAGCAAAGGTACACGGACAAGAAGGAAAGCAGGAACATGCAAAGCTGCTGTTCCGGCTCGAGACCCTCCCGGGCAGCGTCTGACCTGTTTTGATTTAGCTCCATGTGCCATGGCGGGCAGCATCCCCAGAGTCACTGACTGGAGAACTGTGGTGGGGACTCGGCCCAGGGCCTCGGCAGATGTCAGCTCACAGAGTGGCCCTTCCACACCATTCTTGACTTGTTTCCATGCTCAGCTCGGACGGGCCAGCAGTGCCTGATGGACAGGCGTGGCCCTTGCAGTGTGGCGTTCAAAAAGCCAGACTCCATGGCGCTCCCACCAGCCTGGTCATCTTTTCTGTTCTGTTCACCTGGGAGCCTCAAACCATAACAGTTCTCGGACCAAATGTCACCATGCCCAAAAGCTGTCCTGTCCTGTGTCTGGAGGAAGAAATTGAATGTTGACAGGCAGAAGTCGGAGGTGGCCAGCCTCAGCTGTCTCCAGGTGTCGCCCAGATCAGACAGTGAAGAGCTGCACTGAGTCGACGAGGTGGAGGATACCTGGGGACACTGGGTTGTTCCCGAGTGTGGGAATTGCAGCGGGGAGGGCCCGGAGGAAGGCGTGGCAGGAGGGTGATCCAGGCCAGTCCTCGCTGTATCTGCCAGAGCAGCAAGCAGGTGAAGGGCGCGCCAACACTCAGGAAGCCCCGCCAGGGCCCCTCCTCATTGAAAGAATGTACTTTTATCATCCTGCTGTGAAGTTCCGAGGGCCAGCTGACTCCTCTGTCCCCGCCCAAGATGGAGACGGCAGTGCTGGGCAGGCCTGGAGGCCTGGGTGGGCTTTGAGGGGGCTCGGGAGCCATGTGAGGGGGGACCACGGCTACCTCCTGAAGTTCTGATCCATTTGGAAGCTCCCCTGGTTCCTGGAGGCCCGAGGAAGGTACTCAGAGAGCAACCAGCCCCTCCTCAGCCTTGGGTGATGGAGGCTGGATGGGGGTTCGCTCCCTGTTGCCGTCTGCGCCACCACCTCTGCCGCAGGTCACTGACCCATCGCCTGCTCCCTGGTCTGTGCTTCAAGCTTGTGGGGCCACCCCCTCAGCCTCCCCAGAAAACGTGTTTACAGTCCTTCTGGTCTCCCTTTCCTGAGGGGCAGGCACAGGACGAGGCTGGGCTGGTTCTTCATTTCCACTGGGAATGTAAGAGCACCATCTTTACCCTTCAAAAGGGGAAGACCATGTCATGACTGGGGTCAAAGGGAAAAGAAAACACGAAACGTTCGCAGCTGTGAGGGCTTGTGGAGGGTTGTGCCCCCCCCAGATCTGTGCCTTCCTAAACCACGCAGGTGGCGACAGCGCTGGCCCAGCCTGGGCCTCTCCTAAACCAGTAGCTTTCTCCCCACCCCTTGCTGGGAGTCCTCCTTTTTAAAATGCCCCGGGATGTAACATTGGCCTCTTGTGTCTTTGGCCTACCTCTTCCCCTCTCTCCCTCTTGCTGACTTAATGTTCAGGTTCTGTTTTGTAGGTATTTAAGGCTGTTGGGTGGTGTGTGACTTTGAAGTGTGTGTGTGTGTGTGTGTGTGTGTGTGTGTGTCTCGCATGTTTTGTTCTGAGTGATTACTTAAATCTTCTCTTGGTGCTCGCAGTTACCGCGGCTACAGGGCCACAGAGCTGCTTCTCTCGCTGCAGACACGGTTGTTTCCTGTTCGAGGGGTTTTCTTGTTTTGGAGTCTTGCCTGATGAGCCCGGCCAGTCACAAGGGCCTTTTGGCCTCTATCCTGGGGTCCCCTGCCAGGGCATGGGGAAACCGAGGCAGTCTGCTGGCCGCCTCCATTGGGTGCTGACTGTGGGGCTGTGGTTTGTTTACACTTGTTTTCACTCCCGCTCTGTCCCAACTCCCATAAAAGAAACTTAAAAATGCTGACACTTTGGAGGATGAGAATCATTTTGAAAAGGAAAAAAATCCTGTCTGGCACGTAAACTTCTGCAAGTGTTTCTGTGAAATCTTTCTGTGCCATCACTGCTTCTTGCTCTTTCACAATGAGTGGAGGGTGCAGGGACAGAGCAGGGGCCACTGTGGGGCTTTCTGAAAGCAGAAAGGCCTGTCCCTCCTGTCTCCGGTGGGTCACGCACCAGCTGCCACCCCTCAGGGGGTCCCCAACCCTGTGGCAGACCTGCAGCTTGGCAGAGGTTTTCTGGGGGTGGGGCAGAGAAACGCCCAGCATGCCCTGTTCCTGGGACTCTGTGGGAGGAGGGGTGTTCACTGGTCACCTGCGTGTCCTTGGGCACCCAACTTTCTCCAATTCCTGTCCTTGTGACCTGACTCCACTTTCTCTTTTCAGAGGTCAGGTCTGAAGGGGTTTTTCTGTGGCCAATAGAAATATAAACTTAGATTCTCAGGGGACATGGGACCCCAGGGTGGTGCCAAACCCCTTAGTGCCACCCCAGGTGAAGGGGTGTGGTAGTGGGAGACATCGTTGCCTGATCCTGGCACACCCGCCTCCAGAAGGGGTCACACACTCCTGTCTCCATGTGCAGCCCTGGCTAGCTCCACCCCGGCTTCCTCTGGCTGGGCTTCCCACCTAGACGAGTCCTGGGGTGGCAGGGTGGTGGTTTTCAAGATCAGACGTTTACTGTCTGGCTGAACAAGAACTCGGAGTGGAGCAGGGCTGTCCTCTGAGTCTGCGTGGCCGGCAGACACTCGGTGTGCAGGGGTGGGTGCTGTGGACCAGGCCCTGCGCCACCTGGCCCTGCTCAGTTCAGTTCTTTTTATTTTTTATTTTTTTAATATATATTGATTTCAGAGAGAGGAAGGGAGAGGGAGAGAGAGACATAGAAACACCAATAATGAGAGTCATTGATCGGCTGCCTCCTGCACGGCCCCCCACTGGGGATCGAGCCCGCAACCCGGGCGTGTGCCCCGACCGGGAATCCAACCTCAGTCTCCTGGATCCTAGGTCGATGCTCAGGCACTGAGCCACACCGGCCGGGCTCAGTTCAGTTCTTGATTCACTGGCTTCAGACAGCACTTGGAGCATTGCCTCGTCACCCCGCCCACTCAGCAACTCCTCCCGAGGTCCCCGGTCCCGGTCCCTCGAGCAGGTCTTCGTCCCACTGCCTGGGCTGTCTGCTGGGCTGCTCTCTCCCTGGTGGGAGAATTGCCTTTCCCTAGAGTCGCCTGCTTCCCGTTAAACCGTGCGGTAGGTGAAACCCCTCACCGCTCTTACACTTAGCTTTGCAAAGTGTTCCCGGCTGGACCTGGTTGGGATGGGAGCTGGGAGAGCCCTGACGCGGCTGCCTGGGTCACTTGGACGCCCCGGGGCAGCAGGCCCTGGTTTGGGGCTCGGCAGGTGTTAGGATATTCCCCGCGTCTGAACACGGGGGCGGGGCGAGGAGAGGAGGCTGGGGTTGGGGAGAGCTTGGGAGCTCAACACGCCTGTACCATTTCAGTAGCGGCCTTGGCCCTCTCGGCAGGCTTTGTGGTCGGAGGGGTTCCAGGAACAGGGAGAAGCCTTAGGACCCCCCTAGTTCCTCCACATGGGTCAACTCCCCGATCCTGTCCTGAGGATGTGGCCTTCCCGGCCACCACCAGGGGCTGCTTCCCGGTCGGGCTGTGGGAATCAGCCTTGATGAGAGAAGGGAACTTTTTATATCGAATGTGGGGGGTGTGTGTGTGTGTATGTGTTAATGGGGTTTTATTTTTGTGAAAGTCCTTTCCAATTATGTAGCAAAATTCACCTTCCTCTCCCAGTCAAACTTCTGGCTCCACAGTCGACCTCGAGCGTCGCTGATTTGAAGAAGAGAATTCTCTTCTGCGTTTCTGAGCAGAGACGGGCTGCTCTCAGGAGCTGGGGCTGTGGGCCTGGGAGAGACCGGGGTTTACACATTTCCACAGTTTACAGCCCGCAGTGACGGGTGGGTAGGGCTCGGCCCGGGGGACCCGGCTGTGAGCCCAGGGGCCCGGCCGCCTCCACGCCCGATCTCCCCGCCCCCCCCAAACACTGCGCTCTTGGCCTGTCCCAGGTTTCGGCGCGTTGCGTAACGGTTCGCTTTCTCCTGCCCTGAGCTCCGCTGATGGCATCGGGGCTCCTTGAGGAGGCAGGCACCCCTGTGGTCTGAGACACGGGCCCCAGCAGGGCCCCGTCAGGCTCCCCGGGCCCACGTCACGCAGAACACAGCCCCCTCCACAGGCGGGAAGCATGTTTCCACCAGCTGTATTCAACACTACAATGCAGTTTGAAAACTAGATTTGCATCCAAAACAATAAAAAGCCGTATTTTTTGGAAAAGCCTGTGGTGTGTGGTGTTCAGTGCTGCCCTGAGCGCGGGTGCCGCCTGCGGCGGAGGCCTTGGGGCGGCCCGGGCAGGTCCAGAAAGCTGGTGGCCCTGAAGAGAGGCCCCCCAACAGGGTCAGCGACCTCGCCCACGCGCTCACCAGGCCGGCAGAGTTCACCTGCGGCGCTTCACCGAACTGCCAGATCGGTATGTGCGGCTGAAACGCAGTGGTTTGGTACACGGGTTCCTGTGTGACCTTAACCCCCACGCCTCCCCCAAGGAAAAAAGTTCATGACACAACAAGACGCGGGGCCGGAACAGCCGGGCCCTGGAGAGGCGAGAGGCTCGCGGACCCCTCGGGCCCACCGGGAGCTAAGCCGCAGGCGTCCGCCCGGTTCTTCCTAATGTTTGAGCCCAGCTCCACGGTCCATAAGGAGGGTGCTTGGGGCGCAATTTGGAGAAGACGGTAGAGGTTGGATGGGCCGGAAGGGAGGAGCAGAGTGACCAGAGGGAGTGAGGCCCGTGCACAGGCCATCCCTGTGCCCCTGGGGCCACCGCGGGGCATCCGCACCTCCGGACACTTCTCAGGTCTGTGTGGTTATTTTCACGTTATAGAGACAGAAATAGTCCCGGCGGGAAGGCTGAGGGGTCGTTTTTTATCTTGTAAAGGGGCTCTCCATGTGCCAAACGCAAGCTTTGTCCTTGATGTCCTTCCCCTCCCCCAACACCAAGCCCGGTCAGGCTTGTCTTCTAAATCTCGCCCAAGGTCATTACACGCTGTGCCACCCCCCTTCCCACGTCACCATCCCTTCGCAGCCAGTCCACAGCGACGTCCACCCCGTTCCGCCTCAGGGCGAGCTTGGGAAGGTCCAAGCTGGTCACGTCTGTCCCCGTCAGAGGCGCAGGGCCGGACCGTCAGGTGGGGGCCCGGCGTGGGAGAGGCCAGCCTGGCGCGGGCGCTGCACAGGTTTAAAGGTTGACTCCTACACCTACATGTTTAATATAAAAAGGTAACTTGGTAATTTAGGTGGGAACTTAGTGAAGAGGCTCCGTATCATATCCAAACCTAGGTGGCATTCAGAGGCACCTCCTCTCGGGCGGGGACTCAGTTCTGCAGAACACAGCTCACTGTCCCCGTCGCTCCTTTCGGTGCGTCAGCGTCTGAGTCCAGCCCCCGTAGGCTGGCGTGAGGCACTTTTCTTAAATTTCAGTAAGTCTGCTTTTTATCTTTTTATTTCAGAAAATCTCCAGCACACAGAGAAGTAGAACAGCATAAGGAACCGAGGGCCCATCGTCCGGTTCCTGGGCGGTCCACTGAGGGCCAGTCTTGTGTGCCCCTCAGCCCTGAAGCACCCCGAGACCGCATGGGTTTCACGTGACTAGGAGTGTGTCTGTCTGTGCCATTTCCAGAATTGCCTGCACGCCTGCCCTGCTGGTCATCTAAAGGCCCCTGGGCCCGGCCGGCGTGGCCCAGCTGTTGGGCCTCGACCTGGGATCCAGGAGACCGGGGTTCGATTCCCGGTTGGGGCACAGGCCCGGGTTCAGGCTGGATCCCCGGAGGAGGCAGCTGATCAATGACTTTCCCATCCTTAATGTTTCTCTCTCCCTTCCTCTCTCTGTAATCAATAAAGACATCGAAAAAAAAAAAAACCTAAAAAAAAAAGGCTCCTGGAGAGTCTGAAAAGCTACGAAGTCACAGTTCATGAGAAACCTGGGGAATGGAGAGTTCTGATTGATCAGAGTTTCTGTTTCGCCGAATTATTAGCTAGAAAACCCGTAGTGCTTAAAAAGGGGAAAGACTTTCTAAGATAAGCGTCTCGCTTTCCTGCCCCGATGGGTTCGGCACAGCAAGCAGTCTAATCTCTTCATCTAGTCTGACTGATTTTTGCTCCTGGGGGAAGGGACCCAGTGGGGCTAGTTGTTTCCATTACAGATTTGCGGTGCGGGCAGGGAGGACCCGAGCGAACAGCTGAGCGGCCTTTCCCACCTGCCCCGAAGCCCAGGTGCCAACCTGTTGCTGTCCCCTCGGTCCCCAGCCC